GGAGTGTTGTGATACAGGCCAGAGAGTCAGTCTTAAATCATCATCAATGACCAGATAATCATTTTTCCACCTGTAAATGAAAAAGTTCGTCACATACAGGGACTCTTTAGCAATTTTTGACTGCTTTTACTACTGCGGCTCGCAGATGTATTTCTGCACCCCGCAGAATTAAGGTGGACTGGTTCAGGTTTCTGTGAGTTTTGGTCCACGTTTGGCTTGTATTGCCATAATAGAAATCCAAAATATCCACCTGCAGATCATTTGGGGGCGTCATTTATGCAGGAGTGTTGTGATACAGGCCAGAGAGTCAGTCTTAAATCGTCATCAATGACCAGATAATCATTTTTCCACCTTGAAAAAGTTACATACAGGAACTCTTTAGCAATTTTTGACTGCTAACATTTAGCCAAAATGGCGGATCCTGAGGTAGTTCGGGATTTAAAGACATCGTAGACGTCGTGTTTAATTGTGTGAGTGTTTATGACGGAGCATCCATGATACAATCATTTTAGGAGAATGAAAAGGGTAATTTTGGCTGCTTGGGATGCTGGCAAGGCAGCAGGACTTTAGCTAGACAGGAATTAGCAGGTGCTAATTTGCCAGTGGCTGCTAATACCAGAGCTAACCGTTAGCCTTGCCTCAGAAACATACTCAGAGGTATCGCTAAATGAAAACATACAAGTTTAATCTATCGCAGACTTGTGAGGTTTGTATTGTTGGAAGTAATTAATCTTTTATTCAGCCGGTGTAGCAAATTTTGGTGGAAAAATGCTTTTAGCAAGCGGACGATGTAGCTCCGGGCACTGGCTAGGTAGATAGCAAAATTTTTATTTTCACTTGTATGTTTATGTTGATGATTTTTTTGGTTGTACCTTTACTGTGACTGCTGATAAAGCTTGTCTTTGGTTATACCAGTGCTAACACTTAACCAAGTCTAAAAACATTCTCATAAAGTTTGAAATAAAACATAAAACTTGTTAGCTTTATGTTGCTGTAGCTAATTTTGGTGCCACGCAAAGACACAGATGTGACTTTGGTTTCTTAGGGATCTGGCTGGATTGTTTTCCATATTAAGTTTATAAATTAGCTTCAGATAATTTTACAATGGCTGCTCAAAAGGGAGTGCTAAAATGTGCCCAATGCTAACAGTTAGCTTTGACTAAAAAATGATCGTCAGAAACATTTCAAAGTGATATCAGAGAAGTTCAATAAATCAGAGTTGGTGGTTTTATGCTACTTAAACCGCATCATTAATATTATTTTTTAAATTGGGGTCAGAATTTCTGCAACACAAAGAGAAAGATATTAAAAAATGTCAATTTTAGCAGGTGTAAGCTGTACGGCTGCTGGCTCCATACTTGGTATATATGCAGTTTGACTTGTAACATAAGCTTAAATATTTTAAACTGACAGGCTGATTTCATTATACTGATTCAAATGTTTTATCACCAATGTTAAATTATCACAGCCTAGATGTCTTTCCTTGAAATTCAGCTGCAAGAACATGGATGGCAAGAGTTTTTAAGCTTTCTTAATTGAAAAGATCCAGCTCATGTAAAGGAGGTGGATATAATAATTCCACCTGGGTCGTTTGGAAACCATAACCAGCATTTTGGAGAAGACTCATCTCATTGGTAGAGTCTTTGAAGCTCATTTGTGACCAAATACTCTTCAAATTAAATGTTTTGTGAGCTGTGAGGCAGAAATTTGCACTTAGACGAAGACGACCTTTAGAGGAAAAAGGCCCCGGGGCCTGAATGTAGGGTTTTCGTCTCCTGTCTTGTACTTTCTTCTGTACTTTCCTGCAGTGTTTAGGAAACTTCTATGTGCCATCACATGTTGTCATATCTAACGATTGCATTCCTCAAAGAGAATATTTTTGCACAAATATTTGTCCGCTGTACATCTCTAATCTTTTGTG